CCTGAGGGCGGGTGGGAACGCGGTCGAAGACGCGTCTGCTGTGGTTCCCTTCCTGATTGGTATCTGATGCTGGTGCGTATATAGAGATAATTGAGGTATTCGTAGGATGACCTTTCAGTCCTACGTTAACCAGACAGTCACTGGTTCGCACACAGTTAGTACATTATTTGATTGCTGAAAGAGGGTGAGCGTGCCAGTCTTCGCCCAGAGAGTTATGTGGTCATTTGTGGTATAGTGTGACCTTGAGTTATCCGTCGAAATCTTTATTTCGCGATCGTCTGAACCAGATCGTGGGGCTTCTGACAAGCCTCTGATGTCAACTTTTACTAAGGAAAGCTGTACACTATAAGACTTTGGGTACCAGAATTCGTAAATTTTCACAAATTCCAGAATTTCAGAGCAAGAGTCCGTTTCGGCTTAAGTATTCCAACTCGCATACTAGTCTCGCGCATCACTAGAGCAGAATTCCAGAGCGCATCTGTTTCCGCAGAAGTCATATCACGGATTGCATCCTGTATTTTTAATGAAGTTTTTTGTAAATTTATGTGTATGTCGGTGCCCAACAGCCACTCTGCTTGAGTTTGTGTTCTCCTTCGCTTTAGTTTAAGAATTTAACCGCAACACAGCTGTGGCAAGCAAAATTATTGACTTATGGTGCACGGCCGCCATGTCAAAATGTCATCGCTGGACTTATGAGGCAGTCGGCGTGCCAGATCTTAGCACTCCGCGTCCTGGCAGTACTTTCGCTTTTGGCCTGTGCCTGCTCATATTTCAACTCGACAGCCTGCTTATTCCGCAATCAGTCTTCTCTTAAGGCTTTTTAACTATCTACCACCTGTGAATGTACCATGTGCGTTTTAGTGAGTGAAATAGCCCAGACGACATGGATGATTACCCTATAATTGGGCTTTATTGATCTAACAGTTGACATATCGGAACTAAAAGGACAAACAAACTAGTAGTAACTGAGAGCTAAATTAGTCAGGACAGTAAGTAAGCAGTACATTATGGCCAGCAGTAACGGAGAACTCTTCTTTCCAGTGGACTTTTAATTCCACCTTCCATCCAAAAAAAGGTGGCCGTAGTATTTTAAGCCCGTACTTCACCAATCCCACGAATTTATGGAAATTTCTATAAATTTGACGCCACCGTCTTATGGGAACCAACGACTAAGTCAGACCAGTATTTAACTTCGTTTGTCTGTAAATACGTAATTTATCTCGCCTATACTGCTAGAGGATAAATTGATTTGTCTCTGCGTATCTGCTGTCGAATTTTAGTTACACACAGGAAGCACTCTCCCAACGTTTACAAAACAAGCTATTGTTTACGATTCTATCAACCTGTTACCAATATACACGGGTGCTTCTTATATTTTAGCTGATGGAAAGCCTAACCGTGTCTCCTGTAGAAAATTTGGAGCTTCATCATACGTAGAATCTACCAAGTCTGTGTCAACCAATGTCTGATGTGTGGAATATTTAGGTTACTTCCAACATGCCATTCCGGATATTTTATGCTCAACGAATTGTAAACAAGGGAAACTAAGGCATTTTCGTCGTTATACGATCAGCAGGAGATGCCTACCACTACTTCGCTGTGTTTGACCTACATGACTGCTAAGTGAATATTTGGGTGTTTTAGCCGTGCATCATTAACCACAGCGTATAAACAATCGAATTTCCTACTGCTACTTTCATTACCACCAAATTGCATAAATGTCTTACGGTGATCTCCACGTTTGCGAAACTGTCTTGAAAATAATTAACGTGTCTCACTAGGCCTTTCTTTCAAGCGTTTTTTGGGGTATTTTGTGTAGAAGTTAGTTTGCATTGTCGAATAAATGAGGAGTAATCTTCTGCACCCTATAATTTCTCGTCTTTTTTTCTGGTGTTAGGTGCTCATCTGAATTCCTGTTTCTATTTTTTCAGGTGCTTATTTGTACTTTGAATTAAACGAAGACCGTCGGCGTGACTCCCATTATCATCTCCTTCTTAATTCAATCAGCATGGTAGGTTTATTTTTAATATATTCTCATCTCTACTAGGTCGAATTCAATCCGGAATTTTCGTTCGAAGACAAGGTAAAACACTCGTCCCAGTTGTGATCTCCTTCCTAGGACACCGTATATGTACCGGCAGTGACGGAGTATGTCCCCGAAGAGGTTCCAAGCAACAATCGTCGAATCGACACCTTAATCAAGAAGTATCTTGATGAAAAAACGAAAACCTTTCTGGAGGATCAAGACGAGGAGATCGAGGTTGAGGGGGAACAAGAAGTAACATGCAAAGTTTCAGGTAAAAATCTGTCTCCTTTAACTCCATTATCATCGTCAGATTCTATTAAGGCAAAGAAAAATCGCAAGAAACGAAAACACACGGGCCAGGAAGAGGAAGAGACTGAAAAGGTACGAGAGGTTGTCTTACTCCCCTCATTTCTGTAGGAAGCGCAATACGACTTTTGCCAGTCTGTCACGAAGTACGCCTCCGTCGATTCTTTCATCAGTTTTAAGCTTTCGAAACCGGTCCTAAAGGTAAAACCACTCCTATTTTGTTTTCATTTCTCAGGCGCTCACTGAAATGAATATGTACAAACCCACCCCCATCCAGTGTGCCTGCGTTCCGCTCGCGCTCATAAACCGAGATATCTGCGCCTGCGCGCGCACGGGCTCGGGAAAGACGCTGGCTTTCCTGCTGCCGATCGTCGACCGAATGGTCTACACTCCCACTTCTAGTAGGCGGAGCACGCGAGCCCTCATCATCAGCCCTACACGAGAACTTGCAGTGCAGATATTTAAGGTGGCAGAACAGTTGGTTAAGTACTGCCCGAAGTTGAAGATCCAGTTAGCCGCTGGCGGCTTAGACCTGTCCTCCCAGGAGGCTTCTCTACGAACAAATCCCGACATTGTCGTTGCCACACCGGGCCGACTAATAGACCATATTTCGAATGCTCCCAATTTCAGTCTGCATGAAGTCGAATACCTCGTTTTGGACGAAGCGGACAAGTAAGTGCAGTCTTGCGCGTGTTCTAATTTATTCACAGGCTCCTAGATGAGTACTTCACAGAACAAATTAATGAAATTCTTCGCCACTGCAGCACACAGAAACAGACGTTACTATTTTCCGCCACGATGACTGAAACTGTACGTCTCTTTTGTTGTTTTTCTTGATAACCGCTTCCTGGTCACATTTTCTCGTGTTGATTTTTCGTGCCTAAATTGGTGGCTGCATATTCTATAGTGTAATTTGGATGCTAGGGGAGCCTTCGTTTCATTTAGGACCAAAACTTACTTTGATACAGGTAACCTGATGAGTCCTTAAGGGTAGCTAAGACGAGGCCCCTATTTTTGTCCTACCTTCGCCTCCTTCACCGCATTATTTCCAAGACTTCAGATTTTCTTTACCTTTTTATCTATCATTTAATCGTGTCCTGGAATCTAAGTGATATTGAGGGCAGGAATATACAATCAGTCTCACATAATATCTACCAAATTTTTAAAATGCCTTTTAGATTAGGAATGATTACTCAAGTGTAAACATAATATTCATTATATTTGAGCTTGATCCAAAGGTATTTCAGACACACGAGGATACCAGTTTTGAGCGAACGTCTTTTTCGCCTCCTGACAAAACAACTCACTCGATAAAAATGACTACCTTTCATCTCTTCTTTTGACTTTTAATGGCCCTAAAATTCAAATAGATTTTATAGAAAACATCAGAAAAGATATTATTTCTTGTACTCATTAATAAAATACACGCCTCCTTCATTTTTTTACTCAAAAAGTCTATAGTTTGGTTTTTAAGAAAGTTTTCAAATTCCCGAACAAATTTTTCAGTCCGATATGCCGTTGCATTTGTGCTTAGGGTTTTCGGTCTACAAGCTACATACCTTCAGTGGAAGGAATATCATGCCTTCCTCTGTCACGAAGAAGCTAACATATCGTGCTCATACAGTGTCGCATATATATTTTATCAAGGGCATTAATTAACGAAAGTATGCGATGCGGTTTGGATGGCCAACGTACAGCCTTGGAAAATTCCACACTTATACTTTTTAAACCGAAAAATAGTCTCCCTTCGAGTAAAAAAATTTAAGATGCGGTGGGCTATCAAATGAGTACAAGGAAGAACATTCTCCAAACTATATTTGAATTTTTAAGGGCATCGCAAATCTGTAAAAAAAATCCACAGCTTTAGTATTCATTTTCTGTTGAGTGAAGTTTTTTCAAAAAGTCGAAGGAGCTTTCGTTCGGAAGCCGGCATCCTGCCGTGTCCGAAATATCGTGGAATTATTCCAAAGTAATAAATATTACTATTCTATTTGAGTACTGTTTCCTAGTCTAAAATTCATCTTATTTATTTTGGTCAATATTGCATAAGTGCGGTCAGTGACTGTAGGTATATCTCTAACAGCACTCAAAGTCTCCAATCATAATTTAATTTTTTTAATTTTCTCAAGCGAGCAGTCTGTTGAGAATGTGGGAAATTCGTTAACAGTCGTCAGTAAAAGCGAAAATGCAATTTCCAGGAAACAGTTGAGAAGAGGACGGAGCGATCGCTGGGACAAGAGTCTTATTTTGTAGGCATGGGAAAACCTGAAATAGTCATGCAAAAACTCGAAAACACTCTATCGCACGCGTCCAAAAGTTAAAAACCTGAAACGTCAAGCATTAGCCGCTCCTCCTCACATCGCTAACTTTTCATCAGCCAATTAGAACTCCCTAAAACTCGATTATTTTCGGAAAAAAATAACCAAACAGGACTTCTTATAACTGTGGCCAGTTTAAAGAGCTTTTTTCGAAGGTATGTTTTGTTTTCGCTTCTGTTCCAATCATTTCCCAGGCTGTCACTTTTCGTAATCTTCTTCATCCGACTAAAAATCGTTTCTGTCCCTGTTGAATCAAGCAATTGTTGCTATTGCGAAACTCCAAGAATGGGTTGGGGATAATCATCTAATTAAATCTGCTCATTTTTGGATCATAGTCTTGGTTTTGAACCCGCCTTGGCCACTTGTTGCACCATTCGTGGTTGAAAGTTCCCAGCATGAGATTACTTCTTTTCAAGGTGCGTGAACTGGCCACTGTGTCTCTCAGGAATCCCGTTCGAGTCTTCCTCAACGAGTCAACCGCAGTGGCTGACAGACTTCAACAAGAATTTGTCCGTATCCGACCGCAGAAAGAAGCCGATCGGGAAGCTATACTCGCAGCACTCCTTGTCCGCTCCTTCCCCAAACGGACAATTGTCTTTTTGAAGACAAAGAAGGACTGTCATCGCATGCATATTTTGCTCGGCCTGATGGGACTAAACTGTGCTGAGCTGCATGGTGACATGCTTCAGTCGCAGCGTCTAGAGGCGCTTCGTCGTTTCACTGAAGATTCCTCTTCTCCACAAGGCGCCGCTGCGGCTCCCAAAGCGACTGCGGCGGTGAGTGAGGGTGATCAGCAAGTTCAAGTTGAAGACACTGCACCTCCCGTCGACATCTTACTTGCTACTGACCTTGCAGCTCGCGGTTTGGACATCCCCCATGTGCAGACGGTACGTGGCCTCCTCTTTATCTGTTTCCTTTTTTCCTTTGAACCAGTCCTGGTGTTGTCGGCATTCGTCCCGCTGTCCATGAAGGAGTTGCATAGATCGCAATCAATCATCAGTATTTCTATTACCGTTTACGTGCATTTTCCGCAGTTTGTTGTCGGGCCTGTAAATAAGTTGATACCTGTCTACTGTGTCTTAAATGCTGCAGTATTCAATTTATTTGCACTTTTTGTCCTCTTCCCCCCAAGCTGTCCCCCCATAGCTCAATTCGTAGTTTTTTTTCGCGGGACAGGTAGTGGGACACTACCATGTTAGCCACCACGTCACATTTGTGCCTGTTGATTTCATATGTATCTCCCTACGAGCTTTCAGTGTTGCTAATGACAGGAATGTTGCTATTTACTTTAGTTTGGGAGTTGAAACAACGGCTGTTTGTTAAGTAGGCTGTGCCCTGCACAAGTCTATCTGAATTTCGTTTTATTCGAGATTTTCGACTTGGTAGTGGCCTTCTAATTCCTCCCAAATTGCATGTTCTGTGCCTCCATGCTTCCGAGTAACTGGGATTGCTGTCGTTTCTTGCTTCGGTTACTGTTCCACGAAAACTTTGAAATTTTTCTAGAAGTTGTTCTTTACACATTTAAACACAGCACTGTCAGTGCGATGGGTCGATCTTTGCCGTCTGAAATGCCTTCAGCAATCTTGCTTTCATTTTCCTTATTGGGAAAAGGCCTCCTAGTGCCGTTGAATTCCTTCTATTGACGTGATGCGAACAAAGAGCTATGTCCGTCCTTTTAGTGGTTAGGAGACGCATATTACAGCTGCTTAATTTTACTGTAACTTTCGACTGCTTCTTATGAATGGACAAAACTACCCGAATAAAACTGTGTCACCCGTGTGCAGACATATATCATGCCTTCTAGTTTGTGCACTCCAGTTGTGTTGCTCCCTGTCTATTGTTTCAGGATTTTGGGGGTGATTGAGAAGGTAATAGTCGAGCACACTTGTGCCCTACCAACGCCGGGTCTTCTTACATGACCAAGTCTAATTTCATGCGCTAATTATTTTCTTAGCACAATCTTTAACTTACTCAAGAAGACACTGCTTCCAACTTTGATTTGAATTACTCTTATGGGCCTTAAAACTGCGTGGTTAGGCACACTCTTGTGCTCTGTAGTTTAAAACTTTCTGTGCTATATTAGTTCGATTTTTAGGGGGTAACTTGTCTTCCGATGTCGCTTCTTTATTTCCACAGGTGATAGTAACGCATAAAACAGAACTGTTTTTATCTTCTTCTAGACACGTTGTTTAAAAGCGACGATTTTCTAATATAAATGTGTGAAGTATTGCTATTGCACGTCATAGTTTGCAAATATTTTGCTTTCCTATAATGACACTTGCATTCTTGTGTCAAAAATTGGGTAGAAGAAAACGTAGCTTCAACTCACTGTAAGCTTGCTAGAACTTTTTTTACACTGGCATCCATCTGTAGTATTTACAGTCCCTCCTATGCCCTCGAAGGTGACTACTTAAATATCTTTTGTGGACTTTCAAAAAACTGTATACGGTTTTCATTTTTCTACTCATACCAGTATTTGATTTCCATTTTTTTGAATTTGTAATTTGTACTGGGGGTTAATACTGTGAACTCTTAGTATGTTATTTGATTATCTGCCAGTTATTTAACTTCGGACGTAATTGACATTGCGAAAATGCCCAGCCACCTTGATAGTAATGATTAGACTTGAGCACGGCCAACGTGCTAACATCGAAAGTTGCCAGGCCCCGACTCAGAGACCCAAGTTTGCCGCAGGTTGCTGTACTTTTATTTCACCCCAGACCTTTGTAGAAACCCTAGGGATTTCCTGTTTTTCCCCCGTCGACTTATCGCTGCAGATGCTTAATTGATTGGCTGGATTTTTCAGGTCATTAATTATCGGCTGCCTCCAACAATGAAGCAGTACGTTCATCGGGTTGGCCGAACCGCGCGAGCTACAAACGCAGGAAGGTAGGTCTTTTTGTCAAGTCGCGACCGCTTTTCAGTCTCCTGACTTCTTTTTATAATTTATTCCTACCGGACTTGTCGTATATGCGTACGCAATCATTCCAACGTGACTTTTTCGGTTCTTTTTCATATTTCAGAGCCGTATCCCTGGCGGGCGAGTCAGATCGCAAGTTACTCAAAGAAATTATCAAAGATGCACCCTATCCCATAAAGGCCCGTACCATCCCCCAAGGTAATTCGTAGGGTGCTTGTTTTGTGCAAGTTTTTTTCTCTGAGGAAGATCGTTTTTGTTCTTAGAAGATCTCCCATTATCGTTATTTTTTCACGATCCTGTTCGTGGTTTTCTTTAGTAGACTTCATTCGGAATCAGTAAGCCTTTCTCGTCTTCTCGTTGTTTCACGTTGATGCCACCCCTCTTGAGCTCTTTTTATCGAGTTGACCTGGTAGGCCCCACAAAAAAATTAGGAAATATTTTTAAACTAAGACAGACTATAGAACTTTGAAGAACCTCACGGAGGGACAACGATTGCTGCGCGGCGTGGTGGAACCACAGACCCAGTGAATTCGTGTGGGATGTTCTGCCTTTGAGCTTTCGCAACCGGTTACGGACTGCGAATACCGACGTATGCATCCTGTTGCGACATCTCAACGCCGGGTCATCTGGCGCGCATTCACGGGGTTTGTGGTTCAATCGCATTCCACAGCGAGCGTTGTTTTCCCGTCAGAGTCGTCAACTTCCTATAGTCTGCATGTTCTACTTACATTTGCTGTCTTTTATCAAGAGTAAGTAACAAAAGTGCGTGCCGTAACATACCGCG